TGACCAAAATGGAAACCTAATGCTACAATTACATTGCATGTAAAATTTTAAATTTGCTCTTTTTAATTTAAGATAACTGTTATTTTTTAAAATTAAAGATTTAGAGATAAGAGTAATATTTATTTATATTATTTTTAAAAAAATTAAAAGATAAAATTAATTTTTTTAATAAAATAATGAATCAAAATAAATATAATAGGATAGGATTAAATTGAAAAAAAAATATTTATTTATTTTAAAAAATAAAAAATAATAATTAATTTCAAATAAAACATAAAAATTATTTTAAAATAAAAAAAAATACAATTATTAACATACCATTAAATGTATCTAGACATGATACCTAAAGATTGCCCTGCAGTCCCCACGCACCAGCACCAGCACCTGCACTGGCGCTGCCTATAATTAAACCTTATGATTACTTATTTAACCATAACATTTTCAAAGAAGGTAGAAAGGGAGACGATAAAGAAAAGAATAAAGCGGGTCCATGATAGAAATACAGAAGCCAGCCAAGGTCTAAACGGCAAATTCCTCTTCCTCTTCCTCTTCCTCTTCCCGATAAATTAGGGTTTTCCACCCTAAACACTGCTCTTCAGTATCCACGCACCGGCGACCTGCATCTGCTCCTTCTCGTTCTTCGTCTCCTTGAAATAGTAAGTTATCTCTGCCATTTTATCGTTTTCCTAATTCGACATTGTATTTTAGGCTTTTGCATGTTCAGAGCTCGAGCTTTAATGTCACTCCATGGTAGTCATTTTTTTGTATTTTTTCCTCCCTCTTTTTCAGGACTGATATTTGATGTTAATTTGATGTATTGTCAGGCTGTTTTTATCCCAAGTGTTCTTGGAATCCCCTCAACTTGGGAATGGGAGAAAGAAATTTCTTTGATTCAGTATCATGAAATTTCTAGCTTCTTTAGGTTTTTCCTTCACTAATTTTTCTTTTTTTTTTTCACTCTCTATATGGTTGCCCTCGTAAAATCTGGGAAAGTGGAAAAGAGGTATTTTGTACAACAATTGCTAATCTTCTTGTCCAAAAAATGGCATGTTAAAATGTATATATTGTGAGAATGGCTATTGGAAATGTATTCTTTATGTAAAACTTGGGTATTTCATTGTATAACTTATTTTATTTGTTTTGAAGAGCTTTTTGTTTTGTTGATCACATCACATGGTTGTGACGTCTAATCATTTACATTTCACTTTTTTGTGGTAGATTTTATGCTTGGATGGCGGTCAGTATTGAGGAAAGTTTTGTTTTTGGCATCGGACTTGGTTTAGAGGCAGAGTTTATATCCTGTATTCTCAAAATTGATACATTGTGATGCCACATATTGATAGGGAGTTACATATTCTGAGGACATCTAATTTTCTGAGTTTGCCAATCACCAGCTAAAGCTCACAGAACTACCATTTGTGAGTTTACAGAAAATAGCTAAGACGGGGTCACTCTGTTGCGTGGCTGCAAGGCCACATGGATCAAATGCTACCAGTGGGGACTGGTCAATGGCTCCTCATGAGCCTTACTGGCGAACAAATACAAGCTTTTCACCACCCCCACCAAGATGGGATTTCCGTTTCCAATCTGAAGGGCTGTCGTATGGTTCACATGATGGTATTCAATTGTATGGATCATCTACTTCTTCAAACAGCAAAGAAAGTGGAAGCTGGCTGAGGGGGAACGTTCTTTATAATCATCAATACTCTGCTTCTGATGGTACTGGACTATTTTTAAGTAGCCCATCTGAACTATCTCATGGTCCACAGTGGACACCTCCAGCAATACAAGAAATCAGCCTTGATGATTATGATACTAGAACGAGGAGAGGTAGCACATTATACCATTTGACTGTTTACTTGCATTTAAATTCTTCTTCTTTTCACTGCCAGCTGTTAGTGACAGTCCAAATCCCCCCCGCCCACCCACCCAACATTCCTAATGGTAATACTCCTTTGGTAATGTCAGCAAAATCATATTGTTCTGGGTTATTTTAATTCTGTAGTTAACGCTGTTTAAATTAGATATAAGTCATTTATGATAGCTGTCTTTTGTGCCAATAGCTAACACTGATTTGATCTGTTCTTTTATTCCAATGAAAGCATCATACCTTGGGTACTCTTTCTATTTATATATCTTTAAACTAGATTGAGATTGGGGTAGCTTATAATTTTTAGATTGATGCATAGAATAGATACGAATGAAATTGTGAAAAAACCATAGAATGCATTTGTTCAGGCAGCCATACGGCTGTTATGAATCTTATGGTGTTTGAAAATAGACCTCCATATCAATAGTTAGGACTTAATATCTTTATATTAATGTTATAAGATGAGGAAGTGAACTTGTTAGTCTGCTTCCAGCTTCATCTATTGATCACTTGTTGAATTTTCCTGATTTTCTGATTTGAGGAAAAAGAAAATCTTTGAGGAGTTGTAAATGTCAATCCATGATAGCAAATTGCCAGAGCTGTATCTGGTTTTTTTTTTTTTTGTCAATATTCAATGCCAAAATTAAAAGATCTTTTTCTCCTTTTTTAAGGAAGTGCCAATTCAAAGTTTTATATGCCTGTGTTCTTGGAGTGGCCAAGGTTGGGGTTAACTTCAAACCATGAAGGTCAACATTAATGATGTTAGGGAAATAGGTTAGAACTCAAGCTGTGGTTAAGAGTAATTTATTTTGGGTACTTCATTATTAGTCAAACTGAAAGAGAGCTTGGAAAACATGTTATTAATCAAATTGAAGTAATTGGATGAAATGGATAAGTGTTGCTGGGGCATCATGCATTGTTATTAGTGCCATATCAAGACCAGTTCAATTGTAACTCGAGAAAATATTGTTTGATTCAAGGAATAGAGGGAGGCTTACTTAACATATTTTCCAGCTCCTTCAAGGCAAAATAGAGGAATTAAGACTTGGTCATGTTATATTTTGGAAGAAGAAATTGATGTAAAAAGGAGGGACAGAGGGAGCTTAATGGCAGCACTATCAGAATCCAACCATGCAACTAACTATGGAATATTATAAAAGTAAAGGGTTAACAGGTTCAACCATTGGTTCAAAAGGTTGAATTGTAGGCTTATAGAAACTAAATATTAAAAATATTTTGCCATAAAATATAAACATAAATTCTAGTAAAACAAATTATATAAAGAAAAATCAATTCAAACTGCCAAAATTTTGCATCTCACAAGATTAATATCAAACTATCCAATATCATAATCGTTAGAATATAAGATTAGTTAATTTTTTTAACCCAATTCATAAAACTTGCCTTTTATAAGGTTAATAAATATATTTCATTAAACTGGTAAGATTAGCAGTCCTTGACATGATCCAAATAAGTTTATTTGTTATCCAAGCTTATGGTCTTTAGGCTTTAAGGTTCAATCTATATCTAAATGTTTTGGAGTGGTTAAAAGTTATAAAGTAAAAATGCAAAAGGAAATACATAACTCTATCTGGGTATTTGTTTCGTTTCTTACCACACACACTGTCATGCTCCTTCAGTTCTTAAAATGAAAGTTCAAAGAAGAAAATGAATTTGCAATTGCAGCATTAAACCGTGCTATCTTTGTACAAAACTGCGAAGAATTACCTGATTACATCAATTAGACAGAGGAAAGATTAAAGAGAAAGGGAGAATACTTTATCTAACATGCTTTTTGGTGCTCTTTAAAGAAGGGGAGGAATTAAGACTCAATCATGTTTTCTTTTTTAGAAGAAAATTGATGCAAAAAGGGAGAAAGAGGCTGAGTTGACTGCACAAGTGGGAAGAAGATAACCAAAATGAGGATTAGGGTTAAGTATTGTTTGGAATTTTGCCTTTTTAGCTTTTAACTACTTCAAGACAGTCATATATAGATTGGACTTTAACAGTGTGCTTGGTTTGAGAACAAAATGGTTCAAATGAATTCTTATGTTTTAACTTTTAAAATCCTTAATGTGTTTAGTGTATTTGAAAATAGAATTTATTTCAGTCATAAAAATGAATTCATTATAGAATTTAGTTGAAGTTCATTTGCAAATGAATTCTCTTGTTTGAAATAGTCTATGAATGTATAAAATTCAATTGAATTCTTAAAGATTTTATTTTATATTTGGATTGGTATAGAATCAAGTTTAACATATATTTATATATATATAGAGAGAGAGAGAGAAAGAGAGAGTAGGGATCCATTTATACACAAGTCTTACACATTACACTTATACAAAATCTTGACCATTCATCTCTCCACTTTCAATGGTCAACATTTATTCACTTTTTATCATATTTATTAAAGATAATTATCTTTTTCATCTAAAAAGTCATGATAAATTTCAACCATTGAAAGTGGAGAGATAAATGGTCAAAATTGTGTATAGGTGTGGTGTGTCTTTTGTGTAAGTGGATTTCTACTTATATATATATATATATATATATAAACTAACTTTGGCAT